TTTATATTTTTATAATAATGAGTTATTGTTTCAATCATTTTAGTACAAAAATAATATTTTTGTTATTTACTAATTACTTTTATAAATTATTTATTGATAAAATATTGGGTATTTAAAAAACTAGCCTAAATTCTACGTATTTTCGAACCAAACAATGGCCCAAAATACATACCTAGCCCAATTACCCCTGGCCAAGACCAAACGACCCTGCCTAATACCCGGTCGGTACCCACTTAATTTAACCCGCCCGTTCATTTTTAAATTCCAGCCGTTGGTCTTTCAAGATCAACGACCCACATCCTTCCCCCCGATTTTTATTACCCTAGACCTAAAACCCTAATCCATTTCCCTCTAACCTGCCACCCCTAAACGCTCTCAATCTCTCCACTCTCTTCCCTACGAACCCTAGCCGCCGCCTTTCAAAACCCTTGCCGTAATCCCTCTTCTAATGGGATTTTCCTCTCATCTACTTACCATATTCGTATGTTTCCGCTATTGGTTGATTCTCCATTGTATCACCTAGTACTTCCCTAAACATGGCAAGTATTACCACTTTGATTCTGTCCGATTGACTCCCATCTCTTGAATCTGGACGATATTCCGTTTACACACGTTTTATTCTACACCGTATGAGTCCGATTGTGTTTGTATTTTGTTGATTCTTACTTACGGTGAAACTAGAGTTTCAGATCTCTTTAGATCGAACCAAAATTGGTTCAAATCTCTTATATTGAGTGTTATAGCTTGTTTGGCCAAGCTTCTTTTTGGCCAAAAGTGCTTTTTTTTTTGGCCAAAAGCACTTTTGGCCAAAAATTGAGGTGTTTGGCCAAGCTATTGGAAGGGAAAAAAAGTGCTTTTGAGGAGAAGCAGAAGCAGAAAAAAGTAGCTTCTCTCCAAAAGCACTTTTTTGAGAAGCACTTTTGAGAAAAATACACTTAGAAGCAGTTTTTTAAAGCTTAGCCAAACACTAATTGCTGCTCAGAAGTGCTTTTCAAACTAATTAGCCAAACACAAACTGCTTCTCACCAAAAGTACTTTTGAGAAAAGCAATTTTGACAAAAAGCACTTCTCAAAATAAGCTGATTTTTGCAGCTTGGCCAAACGAACTATTATACACCCAAAAAAAAACCTTAATGGTCAGGATAAATGTGATACCAAGTAATGGAAATATGATCTTTTAGATAAAATAAATTTATTATTTATACATATTACGGTGGTAGAGATTGGTGATATTCCCAATCCAGTGTCTAAGATCCGCCAACAGAGATTTTGTCACCGAATGAACACAAATGGTTAGCTTGCATTCGAAGTTATCATAAGATCTTTAACCATATACAAAGAATTCAATAGTGGTAATTAAGCAAGAGATAGGGGCCTTCTCCTTGCTATGCATTTCTACCTATACATCTACCTCCGCCATTTTATAACTGTAATTCCATGTTGTTTTACAATGAGCATTCCATCTTAAGTATTCTATTATTTGTGATCATATTCTCACACAGATAAAGCTTCTTGCCAGCGGGAAGATGAGATTCGAGAATCTGCTAAGCATATAAAATAGTCAAGCCTTATGCCTTAACTGAGGAACCTGTGGGAGATGATCTTCAGATACTTCATAAGATGTAGGAACAGGAGAAGTATTACTGTTGCAATCCATAAGTATTTGGGTCTGGGAACAGAGCTTTTCTTCATATTGATCAATAGAGGTGCATGATCTGAACAAACTCTAGTTAGATGCTCCACGGTAGTTTCTGAGAATTCATCCGACCATTCCATATTAATTAGAAGCCTGTCAAGCATCTTCCATACAGTGTTAGGGGCTCCTCTATTATCACTCCATGTGTACATTGATCCATAATTGTAAACCACAATCATCAATGCAAGCTAAGAAGTCAATACTTTTTTCTACTATGTAAGGCTTACCACCTTTCTCCTCTATAGAGTCAGTGATCACATTGAAGTCTCCAACCACTCCCCATGATCCATGTATTCTATCTGCTATTGCTCTCAATTCTGTCCAGAGTTGTTGTCTCAAATAGGCCTTGCACACAACTGTCAAATTTAATGGTGTTGAGCCCATATGATGGTTGATTGAAACTGTCACCTTCCGTATCTTGCAATACGTTAACGACATGATCATGATCGTCTGTCCAAAAGAACCATATCTTGTTGTTGAAATTAAAGTAACTATTCTGTACCCCCAACTGATTCTGGAATCTCCTTATCTTAGTAGCTTTTGTCATTGGTTCTTGTAATGCAATAAAAGGGAGGTTGTGTTGTAATTTGAGAGTTTTTAACCTTTCTGATGCCTTTTGGGCCTTAATGCCCCTAATATTCCATGATATTGTACTAATCATGAGAAATATCAGCGACAAGGTTCTTTGTGGTCTTTTTGTTTGTCTTTGGTGCCTTTGCTTGGAGCCATGAAGCATTAGCACGTCCAGCACCTTGTACTCCTCTAGGAGATAAATGGTTAAACTTTGCTATCTTGTCTTGTATACTCGGTGAAGAATCTACTTTATTAAAATCAAGTGTTCTATGAGGTCTTCGAGCGAACTCATCATCTGATCTGACCTCAACTTCTACGTCTTGTAACTGTAGCATCTCTTCATCTAGGTTCCCTAAATCCTCCATTGTGCATGCTTGATGCATTAAGCTTTGTTCCATATTACTTCCGCTCTCTACAGTTCCCAGCTTGAAGCGCAATCTGTGTTCAACTTAGATTTCTGGTTCCCATCTGGAGAGCCTTCTTTCTCTAGAGTCAATTCTGGAAAAGTTAAGCTCCCATCAAATGGCTCTGGCAGATCAGTTTCAGCCAGCCCTTGCAATGAGGCCTTAGACTTGAACTTTTGTCTCTTTTTGGAGGCTAACTTTTTGGACTGCTCCTCAGAGACAATAGCTAGTTCATAAGCTGTGGTGCGCATTTGTTCTTCAAGTTGTTCAGGTGCTTCAACTCTCTTCTTCTTTTTTCCCTTCTTCGATTTCTTTAGTGTACCTATCTTCGATTTCTTGTTTTTATTCTTCTTAGCTTTCTTATGGCTTTTCTGATCTAATACTCGGCTGATTAGATCAGGCCTATTTTGATCTTCTTCAGATGTTAATAAATATTTTTTAATTTCAAGCCAAGAAGGATTGCACGTCATTGTCAAGAATATGTCGGGTTTTCCATAACGTTGTACCAATGCAATAGCATCCATATATCGTCGATGCATATCTCTTGGGCCTCCAATAAAACTAACAGGAAGAATTTTTTTTTTTTTTCCAATATTTGAGGCATCTCTTTCTCCTTGTCTTAACAAATCAAGAATCCCTTGTAGTACTGCAGTTCTGAATAAATCTTGGTTAAAGGAAAAGAAATCTAGTCTTTGAGTCTCAAGTTTTATGTATTGGTCAACAATGTATTGTTGAAATACCTTCTAGAATGTAAAGTTTCATTTGGTTCATTCTCTGTTATTTGAATCTTGTAACAATAATATTCACGGCAAGAAACCGTTTCTCTTTTCCTTTTGCCTTTTGATAAAACTTCAGATTCCATATCAAGTAGCCCATCGATTAAAGTCATGTTCAATTTCGCAGTAAATTTGGTGATTTGAATGACTATGTTTCCTTAATATTTTTAATACCACAGTGCCATCCATTTTGACCATATGGGAATAACAATGGATATTGTAATGGGTCATAGCATCCATAATAATAATAATTTACCAACTGACTTCTGTTACTATGAGTGTATATTCGAATATGCGGAGTGAAAATTCTGTTATTTGTTTGTTCTTCAATCCATATTGCCCCAACTTCGGATGAAGTGGGTACATTGTATGTTCTTTGGTCTAACCCAATTCAGATTTAAGTGCAATATAGAAGTTGGATAATTCTGGAACATCTGTTAATGACTTTAGAAAAATAGAATATGGATTAACCTTTAGTATTCCACCAGTTTCTTGACAACTGCTTCATTAAACTTGTCTGATAAGCTCATTCGATTCCTTATCTCATTTTCGTTATCATAAAAGTACAATTGTAAATTTTTTGCTCTTTTTCCTGAAGGAATTAAATCTTTAATAAAGTGATACATTTGTCCTTTTACTTTAAATGTATATATTAGAGTCGTCAATATGGGCTTGGCCCATTGGGCCAGCCCAGCCCAGCCCGTGATTTAGTAGGGCTGGGCTAGAATTTTTGGAGCCCATTTAAAAACAAGGCTTTTAAGCCCGGCTCGTCTAAGCCCGTAGCCCGTGAGGCTTGACTGAGGCTGGGTCGGGCCGGCCCGTGGGCTTAATAAAAAATACGTATTTAAAAATCACAAGAAGAGTATCCCAAGCTTAAAGTTTATTAAGCTCATCATATTAAAAGATCAAACTCTTAAAACGTTAATTAGTTTTAAAAATTTAATTATTCTTAATATTTAACTAATTAATATTGCATACGAATTGTAGCTGTAGAAGAAAGTGAAGATGTTAAGACAACCTTCTTACAAGGGGATTCAAATGTGTTTGATGAAGATGATGTGTTAGATATCCTATAAGCGACATGCGCATTCTCGTGAATAGTTTGTTTTGAGTTTTGACTTTTAGTGAATGAAATATAGTCTTGTCTTTTACCTTTTTAGTGTTTATTGTGATATATTAGAACCGTATAGAAATTTATTAAGTTTTGTGAAATTTTTCCAACAAGATTTTTTTAACTTTCAAATATTTATCTTTTTTTAGTTTAGAACTTAAAGAAAAAATATAAAATTATATTTTAAAAAATGATGGGCCAGCCCGTGGGGGCCCGTAGCCCACATAGGGCTGGGGTGGGCTAGCCCAGCCCAACCCGTCAATTGCTAAAGCCCATATGGGCTGGGCTGGGCTAGCCCGGCCCCGCCCATATTGACAGCTCTAGTATATATACCACGATTTCCCTTTGCTAATACTCTATCATAATTAACACCAACGGAGGTGAATGTATAAGTACGAAAATGTTTAGATTCTGTAGTGTTGCCTAAATATAAATCCTGCAACTCTACAGGCATTTGATGAGAAGTCAATTTTATTGATCCGCTACCACAACAGAATTTTGGTGGTTTATATTGGAACCTTTTTGCTCCACAAAATTTACAATCCGGAACTTCTTTTAAATGTACGTAATTTTTTAGCAACAAGTCATCATCTGTAACTCGACTTCTAAATTTGTTTTACCTGTACATGATAAATTATGACAATGTTATAGAAAGAGACAATAATGTGATACTATGAGATTGTTATATTTTTGGCAGATAGATACATACCTCTATGTGCAGTAGCTGCTGGAGTTGAAGAAATTCCTGCATTACATGTACCTGAAGTTGATCCTGACATTGCAGTGTTTAATGTTTAGGCATGTATAACTAATCAGTGAAGTAATTTTTATAGTGGGAACATTTATAGTACTATTTTTGGACGCTTACCTACTCCAAAGATGGACAAGCAATCAATCATATTATTTCCTTTATCGATAATAACCGGCATATTTGTAGCTTCAGAAGCATGACCTAACAATTGAAAGAAACTAAAAAGTCACTTTAATGATTGTGGATCAATGTATTCATCACTGTATACTTATATATGCGCATACAACATTGTTTGTATATCTAATGTCTCTGAAAAGTTAGAGAACAATATACTTTTCTACCTTCTTCTGAATCTAACGGACTATCACCAACTATAAGAGCACTCTGTCTTTGAGATTGAGTACCAGTTTCCATTAAGGACAGTGTATTACTTGAATGAGGATTAAGTCGCCGCTTTTTTGATTCAGCTCTCTTAGCTTGCAGTTTCAGCAAAAATGATTGTTTCCTTACAGGTGACATTTGTGCATATCTAGTGCGACGTCGCAGATTTCTATCACGTCGTCGTTTACTCCCTCCGTTTCATACCGTTTGAGGTAGTTTGACTCAGCACGGAGTTTAAGAAAAAAGAAGAAGACTTTTGAAAGTTGTGGTCTTAAAAGCTTAAGAGGTAAAAGGTTTGTGGGGTCATGCCATTTGTGTGGCTATAAAAGCTTTTCATTAAGGGCAAAAAGGGTAAAATGAAGCATTTAAAGTTGAATTATTTTCAAATTTAGAAATGTGTCATTTATTTTGGAAAACTAAAAAGGAAAGTACCTCATTTAATATGAAACGGATGGAGTAATTATTTTGTAAGAATAATATTCTACCTAAAATATCCACTAAATGTTTAAGCACTTGTTCAATAACTCTATCTCTCCTTCTAGCGGAAACATGTTTTTCCCTTAAGAAAAATAAAAAAAAAAAGAAAAAACTTGCTAATTGAGAGAGAGAGGCAGAGAGTGAGAGAGAGAGAGCCAAGAAGTTGCTAATGAGAATACAGAGGAAACCAAAAAGAACGATGACTAAACTAACCAACTAAAGGTGGCAATATGGTTAATCCAAAAAATCTAGTAAAGTAAACAAACATACAGTGGAGAAACTTAATACTATGTTGTTTTCTTACCCAGACAGCATAAATGTATCAAGTAAACATGTACCTTTCCATCTTTCTCTGATTCTCCATAATCCCTATTTTAAGAGAAAATTCAGTCTCTTCTATTATTTTTGGTTGTAGAGTTCAGAGTAGAAGGACAGAAGCCAAGTAGTTTGGATAGATTAAGATTTATTGGTGGAAACACTTTCAGTGAATAGGACCAAGCATTTTGCTAATATAATTAGAATTCCAAAATAATACTGAGTTCCTATTTGTATTATCAACAAAAATCACAATATGTAAGCCCAAAAGGTAAAGAGAAATCAGGCCACCATCACATACCATCATAGAATCTGACATTGAAAGGGTGAAGAAGAAAATAGACGATGGCATGCAACTAAAGAAAATATCAGTGGTCGAAAAAAAAAAACTAAAACAGTCAGCTAGATGAAACAGAGAACGATGGACAGGGATATGGAGAACCAGTACCGGCAGAAACCAGAGATAAATATAATCAATCAAAGCCCAAGACCCAATCACAAAAATACTAAAAATGCTAACGCCAGCGTAAATTCCAACTTTGATTTACAAAATATGGTAGAATTCTTACAAGAATAGAAGAAGATAAACTGGGTATGGCCAGCAATACCTACGGAGAATTTGAGAAGAAAATGGTTACCAGGAAATGGTTTGGCAAATTGTCAATAAAGAATCAGAAATGGGCTGCTAAAAGGGAGAAGTGATACACGTGTCCATAGGAGAGAGCAATGAACAGTCAATCACTAATGAGATAGTGCCAAGTTTATAGTACAATTTACAGTACTTTTAGTACAAGTTCTCATTGCTGTGTTCGTCCGTCTTGACCATTACTATATAGTAGTAATAGTAATATATATAGCGTCTTTTGTTAAGACGCTAAAGTATAACGTCTTAACAAAAGACGCTACATTCTCCTGCTTTTTTAATCCAAATATAGCATTTTTTTGAAAGATGCTATACTTAAATGGCCAAACAGCCGTTAAAGTATAGCGTCTTTTAAAAAAACGCTACATACTCAGATAGCTGGGCACGTGAGAGTATTTAATTTAGAATTTTAAAAATTGTTTAGGTATAATTATCACTTGTACAAACACATATGCTATTGAAATTCATGTAGTAACTACTAAATTTGTCGCGCGAAGACATTAGTGAAATTTCTTTAAACCACACATATTTAGTTTAATTCATAAGAGTGGTTTTAATGCTTACTCGAGGATGAGCAAGAGTTTAAGTGTGGGGTATTGATGTTTGGCCAAAAATGCATGTATTTAACCATTATTACCTCATATTATAGCACTTTTTATCATCTTTTAAGTATTAATTATATTATTTTATACTTAATATTATATTTTAACTGTGTAGAAATAAAGCGGTGTAAAGAGGAAGAGATTTGGAACAAAATTAAATAAAACACGGTAGAAAGGAAATTAAAAAAAAAAGATATAGGGGAGACACCTTTATGTGTTTGTCTCCCCCCCCCCCCCCCCAACCCCCAATTGAAGACAAGAACAAAGGATACAATTGAAATCAAATGGTGAAAGAAGGAAAAAACGTACCGGGCAGCAAATTACGTCACTGCCTCCAGCACCACGGCCAGTGGTAGGCGCTAGCTGGATTTTGCGTGACTGAATCTTTCCTACTTCGTCGGGACAAGGTTATTTCGGCCTTACACGACCCCAACTCATATATAAGGAGTCCTAAACCTGATTTGGAGGACATCTAACATACTTTGAAGGAGAATTCACGTGGGGGAACACACACCATGCACTACTAGAAATCCGAAAAAAAACGACCACAAAAAGCGACCAGTGTTGGTCACTTATTGGCCAAAAAGCGACCAAAAAGCGACCAAACGTGCCTGGTCGATATTAAGCTGGTCCCTTTACCTTAGGGACCAAAGTTGGTCGCTAATTAGCGACCAACTTTGGTCTCTAAAGTCAAAGGACCAAATATTCCGGTAAAGACACTGGCGACCAACTTTGGTCGCTAATATTATTTTAATATTATAAATTTTGCGACCAAAGTTGGTCTCATTTGTGTAAATTTCATTTTTATTTATTTATTATTAATTATAAAGTAGCGACCAACTTTGGTCTGCATACGAAATATTATATTTTAAAATCTGGAAAATTGCGACCAAAGTTGGTCGCTATACTATAAATTTTTTAATTATTTTTTTTAAATAAGCGACCAAAGTTGGTCGCTAAATATATGAATTAATTTTTTTATTTATTAATAAGCGCCCATATTTCCAGAAATTGTTAATTTTCTGGTAAATAGCGACCAATCTTGGTCGCTTTTTTGGAAATCTGGGTTAAATAGCGACCAACCTTGGTCGCTATTTCACAGAAAAATTTTTTTTTTAATAGAAAGCGACCAAATAGCGACCAAAGTTGGTCGCTTTTCTTGGTATATTGCTGGCAGGAACTGCCTGTTTTGGCAGCTACACCACCTGCCAGCTTACCAAAATTCCTAAATAGGCAAATATGCCAACAACAGCAAAAACAAGCAACAACAACAACAAGCAACAACAACAACAACAATTATAACGAACAAAGTATAAAGTTCAATAAAACTTTATACTTTAAGCTAATTAGCAAACTAATAAGTTAAATGTTATTACAGAACCATTCGAAAACCAATTGTATTTGTCTAGCATAAACAGATAAGTTCAAAGATTGTTCTCTACATCATTATCATCACCGTCTGATGAAATTTCTTCACCATGAAGGTATCTAGAATGGGCTATTTGTCGATGATGGGAAGAATGACCACGGGGAGGACGGGAGGAATGAGCATGGGGAAGGCGAGCCTCTGGCGATGACTCACGAGACCAGGGAATTGGAAAATTTCCAGAAGCTAGGAGAGTTTTGATCTGCTCTTGCATGCCCTTGCACTGAGCTTGCATTCCAGAGTACTGCATATCTCTAAGCCTTTCTCTCTCCTTGGCGGCTTCTAGCTCGGATGTGAGCTTTGCCACAGTCTCCCGCATAGAGAAGGGGCTCTCCCCATCAAGGTGCTCGGCTTGGGAGGAAGTCCCTATTCCTTGCATTCCACACTTATAGCGATGGAATTTCTTATTAGGAAGCCCGTATACCTTCCCCCCTTTTGGACCGCCAGCAGCCTGCGTCCACATTCTCTCAGCATCCTCGTCCGATAGTTGGATTAGCATGCCGGACTCATTAGGTGGCTGACTGCGTATGAATTGCTCCACTTCAGCTGTGAAGCGACCCTATAAGAAAAATAATATGTGAATTACTATTTCCAAATTTATATAAAACTAAATCAAAATTCTTAATGAAAAGTAAAAACTTACATGTACAGTCGAGGCTCGGCCCTCGACCCACCTTTCTTGGTCTGTCTCTTTCTTCTTCTTCACAATATGAGTCTCCTTGAAGAGCTCATCTTGGTTCATCGGACGCCCAACCTTTTTTTCCTGAAAACTCATAAATTTTAGTTAATAAACAGAATACATATGCTAAGAAAATTAAAATAAATTAAGCAATTAAGTACCATTCTTTATTTTATCGTCCCTAGGCTGACCGCACCTCTAGTGTGCAAGGATCCTCCCTTCTCATACGCCCGGGCTTTCTTTCCTTTTTCGCTCTTCTCTAAGAACTCTGCTGTAAGCCATTGCCTTAGCAAATCATCCCATAAATCCTGAAGCATCCAGGCAGGCTTCTGGTTCAACTGCCTAGCTTTGGAGAAACAATGGGACAACTGCTTTCGAGCTTTGAGATGGAAGTTTACAGCCACTTCCGCGCTATAGCGGTGTTCCCATACACACTTGCTCTGTATTTCAAAAGTCAAGTATTATATGGAAATATCATAGTTAGATGGAAATATCATAAAAGCTATATTCGATATATTATACTGAGCTTTTATTAGCTAATAATTATTCAAAAGTTAAGTGCATTAACTGCTTATAATATAATATTAGCTAAAAGCTAATAAATGATTATACTGCTTAAAAGAATATTTATACCTTAAATTGATTGAAGATTGCCTCCTTGAGAGCGAATGGGAATTCACTCCAAGTCGCATAAGGACCATCATAAAGCTTTCTGGTGGCTTTGGTGATGATCCTTGTAGTAACATTACTAGGGATGAACCTGCAATTTTATTAAAAAAAACACATTAATATCTTAGTAAAACTGTACTAAACAAAAAAAGTTAAAATAACAAATAACTCTTACCCGTCACCCTCAGGGACTATGATGATCCTGCCATATTCATCATAATGCACCTCCTCGTCATTAGCAGCATCATTGTCCGAAGCATTTACATCGGAGGCATGTGTGGAAGGTGTAGGGGGGTCAGAATTAGTATATCGCAGGCGAAGGCCTGCAATAGATGGAGTCCCAGATGAAGATGGCTGCGAGCCCTGTGAGTGCGACATAGTTGTATGGGCCGCAAGTGGATGAGACACAGATAGCTGTGACCCGAGTGGCTGTGACACGGATGGCTGTGATCCATGTGGATGTGACATGGATCGATGCGATCCATGAGCTCCTGATGGATGCGATCTATGTGGATGTGAGACAGGTGGACTGTATGTAGGTCGTACAGTCCTATGGCTCTGTGAAGAAAGACCTGGCGTCTGCACAAAGGTGTAGGGCTGGACATACGCTGGCAGCTCAGAATAGCCCTGGGGTGGAGGCGCAGGCGCAGGCGCATGCATCTGTGAAGAGGCAGGAACGGATTGAGTAGTACCTTCTACCCTCCTCTTTTGTTTCCTAGGCTTTTCTCTACCCCGAGAACCAGTAGGATCATTGTTACCTCGACCCTTGCCTGACATGTGCATGACATAATACAAAGTTAGATTGAAATATATAAAGAAACTAGCTATAACATGAGTTATTAAAGAAACCAACTTTTTAAAGCTGATCGACGTATAGTTCCTCGTCCGAGAATTCTTCTTCCTCTCTAGTTTGAGCTTCATCAGTTGATTCTTCTTCCTCGTTTTCTATAATTCTTACTTCATCCATATCAACTTCTTCCAATATGT